TTTGTGAAATCGAAGTGGATCAGTGTTTTCATGCTTTTTTTCATTTTTTCATTTTTTTGGTTTTCAGATTGAAGGATATAATATTGATATTTATACTTTTAGATTCGAAGATTATAAAAGGATTATATTGTAAATTTATTAATATAGGAGGAACAAAAGCAGGGGCGGGAGAGAGTCTAGATAGGGAAATAGGGTTTTGAATAGTATTAAATGGAGAGAAAGAAAAGCTTGAAATTTCATTTATTAAAAATTAGTTATTAATCATTTGAAAACAATAGAAATATATAAAAGAGAACTTGTCCAAATGATCTGAATTTTCTTTCGAAATTTGAATTAAATTATGATATTGTTTTTCACTTGTATTATAGTTTATATTCTGATTTATATCCTAACTGATATTCTGATATTATAAACTAGAATCTATAAAATTATTAGTATTTTATAAAAACAAAGTATACTAGATATTATTAATAAAAACAAAGCCTCGATTCTTAGTTTCTTAATTATACAAACTGTTGTGAGGAAACCAATCAATAGTATTAGAGTCACGTGATAGTCTAGAGAGGGTACTTATACCCCCTCTTCCAGTAGTTTAGATCTGGCGTCATGTTTTACCCCTTCAAAGTTATACCTACCCTCAGTGTTTAGACAAATAGTTACTTTATCCCCTTTTGACCATAACTATCTTTCAGTGACGCTACGATTAGATGATTATTGTACGATATGTGATTATACCAAAGGCTTTCCTATGATTTCAGAGATACGAAGACTCTCACCTGTACATAGTGTATCCTACGAACCTTCGACCTAGTTTACTAGTATTCGAAAAGCTAAGTAGAGTCGTTGGAGCTAGATAATAGTTGTACACTTATCGAAGGCTTTTACTGGTACTGAAAGTATTTGCAGTTAAGTGTAATGAAAGCGCTTGCGATAAGCCTGGAATAGAGGATTATTAGCGAAATGGAGATAAAAACTATTCGATGATAGAAACTACAATCGATAAATTTAAAACGATACTAGCTCTTACAAATCTGTTGTGGAAAGCAGAGCCTGACAGGGTACTCACTGTGAGCCCCTGAAACAGAACCAGCC